GTCACTCTTTAACATTCTTAAAGGAAAGAAAAAGGCAGAGTTGGATTAGGGTATTTTAAAGCTTATTTTTAGCTTTAAAATTTCTGATGTTAATGGACGATGATTAGGACCACCTTATTTCAGAGTGGAGAGTTAATCTGAAAATCCCAGTTCCCAGTCCTGTGCTCTAGTCCCCATATCCTACTGCCTGTTAATATCATATTCATTTAAAGCTTGAGAGAAAAGACCTAAGGATGCCTTTAACATTTCTGCCTTTAAAATACACCAGGTGAAACAGAAGTTGGTGAACAGCACTGACTCATGCCTAATTAGAAGTTAAAGCTTGACAAATACTCTAGTATGTTACACATATTTCCAGAACCATGTATGTGTAACTGGATGACCACAGAATAGTGCAACCTAGATTGGGGGAAATGTCCCAAATCAGAGAGTTTTTAAGTTGTTGTAACACAGGCCCCAGAGAGTGGATGTTTCTAGTGTTAATCATCCTGGGAAGAGATGATTTCTGGGGCAGGAAATGCAAGGAAAAACTCCCCCTTTCCCTGAGTACAAAGCCAAGAAGGCTTGGGCTCTGAGATGTGAAAAGGCCTGGAGTATTTTTTGTGATGGAGGGGAGCTGGCTATGACATGTGAAGACATTGTGCCTGCTTTGGTGGTGGTGGTGGTAGTGGTGCCATCAGTAATAGGGAAGAGATGGGGAGAGGGTATAGCTCAGAGGTAGAACACATGCTTGGCACGCATGAGGTCCCGGTTCAATCCCCAGTACCTCCATTAAATATATATATATATATATATATTATATATTATATATATATATATATATGAATCACTCTGCTGTAACCAGATATTAATGCAACATTGTAAAGCAACTATACTTCCATTTAAAAAAAGGAAAAACTATGATAAATAAACACACACACACACAGGGCAGAGAAATTGCCAGTTTTGGAGCAGAAGGATCGAGGCTGGCATTGTGAAGCTGTCAACACAACTGAGCTTGAACGCAAGGAGGACATGAGAGAGGTCCCCTCTCCAGGTGGGAGAGGCCCACTAGCATCACGTGCTCTGTCCAGCCTGGGGACCTCACAAAGGCCATCAGCTGCAACAGCAGCAGTCTAGCAGCATGACAAGCAGGCTTAACGCTCAGTTCTCATGTGCCCACAAAGCAACAAACCCTCAGATGGGGGGAGGAGGTGACTTTGAAGAAGGCTTTACTTACTGTTTTTATGGCTCTGAACCTTGCATCATAATAATTTGGTAAAACAAATGAAGAAATATGGAGAAATACAACAATGAGTAAAATTGACCATAAAATGCACTTAAATATTCAAGGTTAAGTGGAATTTCAAATGCAAGTAGATTTAACCATCTGGAGGCAAAGGGGAAAGCAGGCATGACCCAAAAAGCAGAACAAAAACTAAATGTACAGGAGGAAAAAACAAGATAGGACAGTTTAATACCAACTGGTGCCCATATCTGCAATGGATATTAAATATCTCATTCTTTGCTAAAGTTGGAGCACAAAACCGTATTTTGGTTTGTACACCCTTGAAAGAAAGCAAACTAGCCCTTGGGTTATTGCTAATAAAGGGCTTAATGAGCCAAACAAGGTATCCTAGGACCTCACATCACTCCCCAGACTATCATTTATACTTTGAAACACAGAAAAGTAAGTGCACAGGCCTCCCAGACATGAAAGTGGCAGTTCACCGGAGTCACCCACAGGGTGACAGCTGACCCAAGGGATGAATGGCGTGGAGACCTGGCAGAAAACAAGACAAAATGCATCAACAACAAAGGATGGTTTGGGATTTGTATGTAAATATGTAACACAAGGGCACTTGAACTTTATGAAAACTTCTGGGGTCCACAGATCTATTGTTTCTCCACTGACATGGTTACCTGTCTGTAGAAATAAATGAGTTTCCAGTGTCTTATCTCATCTTCTCCATCCCCTCACCAATTTCTGTAAGAACTGGTTCTTAGAATGGATGATGGCAGTTCCATCCCTAAATGGCACTGAGAATGAACTGGGATTGTAGCAGTCACGAGGCCCACAGCTCCAGCCAAATCTCTCTCTATTTTTTATATTTGCCCGGAAAGGGGTCAGACCACCTGCAGTAGTAAAGAAAGAACACTTGTCAACAAAAAGCAAGGGCAACTCCATTTTATTGGCTCAGGCCCATGACTGTTACACAAGTAAAATGGAAATCATAGTTTTGAAGCAGAGTAATGGGATTTTCGATGAAGAAGTACCTTATAGATAATCTAGTCCGACTCCATCATTTGACAGATGAGGAAATTAAAACAGACTTTCCCAACCACACACAACTGGTTAATAGCAAATCTAGGGCCAGAATTCAAGTCAGTGCCTTTCTGGGCAGATTTGAATAATATTCAGATCAACAGACTGTGAGGGACGGTAATGCATGAACTTGTGACACAATCGGAGGAACTAGAGATTTTTAACCTAGAAAGGGTTTATTATGTCCCTAGCTAAGGGACATAACAACTATTTTCAAGTACCTGAAGGGCTGGCAAGTAGTAAAAGGGCTTGAACTTGTTCTGCTGGCCTGAGGAAAACAAGGGCTATTGAGGGGAAGTTAGAGGAAAGACTAGCTGTTCAGTATAACACATTACCTTTTAAATAGTCAAAATTTGCCAAAACAATTCATCAGGAGATAATAAGCTTTCTGTCACCTGAAGCAATTCAGGAAAGACTGGAAGATAATGTAGTGTGTATGTTTCGTCCATGGAAAGGGCTGGGTAAGGGGCGTGGAGGAGAAAATTCAGGCATGAAAATCATTTGGATGAGGTGACCTTTAAGAGTATGTGATTCTTTACAAACTGGGATCAAATAAGGGTTTCATTCTTGCCTCCAAACTCTAAAACCTATCTTCCCATCTGTTTGTAATAGTTTAAATTTTAATCTATTTCATATTTCAGGGTATTATGCCCTGAATATTTGATTTGAACGCTGTGGCAGGTCACTCATATTCATTTATTTTTCTTCTTTTACTCTAATACACTTGCTAGTGAGTCTTTTGAATCTATTATGCAAACACATGCAAATCATATGTGAATAGTCTGGCCTCAGAAAATGACAAAATCTCATGGCCCTAACTGAGCCACCAAACCTTTCTTTAAGAAGGAGAGTAATATCACCTTTTAAATGTCTCTGGGGCAGGAGACAATTTCCTGAGAGTGACACTTAGACGACGTTGAAATTGGTTACTCAGAGGAGTCTCTGCCTCATATTCTTCATATTTATATAGGACTTTAAGGTTAAGAAAGCTTTTTCACGTAAATGATCCCATTTGATCCTCATAGTTACTCTGTGATGTTGGCAGAATAGGAACTGGAATTCCTGTTAAATTACTCATTTGGGAAATAGACTCAGAAAAGTGAAATGACGCCCAAGTTTGCTCTGCTGATAAATGGTGGACCTGACGCTTCAAAGTAGCCCTGCGTTTAGTCCAAGGACTCTGCCCACGACACTGTGATGCGTATCTGTTTAAAGCTATCAGTCTGGGTTTGCTTGGACTGCATTTTGCCAAAAGCATCTTTGAAGGTACTTTTGTTGATGAGGATGGCATTTTAAGGGTGACCAAAAAAGTCTGCCTGTAGTAGCCCCAGCAAAGCACCAAGGACATAGTTTCTCCAACATCATCTGCTTTTTAGCAACTGCTCTGAAATCTCCGGATGAGGAATGTTCTTCCTCCCATCCAGTTCTCAGCTTTTTCAGGAGGCAAAATTCTTCCTTAAACTATGGAGAGTAATGGTACAGCCTCTGCAGTCAGACTGTCTGGATTGGAAGCCCTAATCCACCACTTTCTAGTAGTGTGGCCTTCGAGAGGTCATTTCTCATCTATAAAAGGTCATCAGTTTCTACATCTATAAAATGGGTGAAATAATGGCACCTCTGATAGAATATGTGATAAGAAGATACATATAAAACAAAAGAAAACCTGCCCAGAGTTTGACACACAGTGTGTGCTCAGTAAATGGTAGCTACTATAATGATTGTATTCACGGTAGTAATGCAGTCATGGTGGTAGGAGTAGTATCTCAAGGCATCATGAACGGTGATGTTAAGAACTGGCTCTTGGAAATGAAATGGGAGGGCATTAATGCCAAGTATCTCCTATAGGCCAAAGGGTTGGAGAATAGACAATGTCTGAGGTGGCTAAAATTCAGTCCAGTGAGGCATGCATCAACTTTAACCTTCTTTAATCACTATCACATTTTGCATCACAGTGAGGGTAGTTGCAATCCTGTTTCAAAGCTCTTTCTAAGAAGAAATAGATGTCAGCCAAGGCTGACATCCTTAACTCTACTCACCCTTAGTAAGACTGCTCTGCTTACAGCAGTGTCCTCTACTTCCCTGGGTCACCTTGGGAGGGAACCAGAAGGGATTCCACTCCAGCTGCTTTAGCAGCCCTGAATGACAAGGTCAAGGGATGGACTTGTCCTCCTCCTGTACCAAGACCAGGGGTGCATACTGTGGAGGTGGCCAAGGCAGCAGCAGAGGCACAAGGGGCAGCTCCACTCCCCTTCTGGGGTGACCCTGTTCTCTCTTGCTCTAGTACTCAGCTCCAGTGGATGCCAGCACAGGGCTCAGTCCTTCCATCCACCCCCACAGAGTGCTCTGCCCTTCCAGTGTGCCAGGTCCCTCCCCTAGGATAACTAACAAGATGGCCTCCTCTGTGAGGACAGCCTCCTGCTCCCAGAGCCGTTCTTGTGCAAAGGGACCGGCGGCTGTTGGATCTGGCCAAACTCTTAAAGTTTGTCCAGAGTCACTGGGAACCATCACCCGGAGAGTCCATGTGACCAGCCCAAGTGGGCTGCATAACTGATTTGTGTTTACCAGGAAATGCATTGGGCCATTCTGGGGCTGGGTCCGCAGCTATTTTGAGCAAGAATGGGTACTATGCAAAAGGGACTTCCCTTTTTTTGTAGCACAGGGCCACCCAATGCTGAGCAGTCAGCAGCAGTTTTTGTTTCCAGATCATTCTCCTGAGCACCTCTCTGGCTGTCAAATTACTGAGGCCATCATAGCTTGACTGGATTTCTTAGCTCTGGCATTAACTAACCTACCAAGCTGGGCTGCACTGGTCCTGCGATGGCTCCCTGTGCTGGCTGCTTCCTGCTGGCGGTGCTGTTTTCTGCCAACTGTAAAGTCATCACCTTCTTAGATCCAATGTGCACTGAGGTGAGTCTGAACTATTTGTCTTTGTCCAGATTAAACTGCCTGGAAATGTTAAGATTCAGCGTGCAGCCCCATCTGAGCCTTGGCATTCCAATATCCACTGTCTTTCAAAGGGCAACGAGGTGTGTAGAAGTTTTTCTTTACTGTGAAAGAGAAACCAAAGAGCTCAGCTGGGGTGATGATCTCAAAGATTCATAGTAGAAAGAAGTGAGAGCTGTTTTCCTAGGCAAATTCCCCCCAAATCATCCCAGTAAGGACGTAAGATGTCAACGGGTCCCAGGGCAAAGAGCAGACCTCCAAACCTGCTTCCTAGTGTGCAGGAGCTATTTGTCCAACCTCCCAGCACATGGCCACTTCCCCAAAGAGTCCTCCAGTTTCCTGGCATTCAGGATGGAGATTAGTAAGACCATCTGTGCCAGGTTTTAGAGCATATAAAAAGCACTCTGAACAAATCTGGCTTTCTCCTTGAATTGGACAGCCCTCCATCTGTTTCACTAACCCACAGGAGTAACATCTGAGAATAGAGCCAAGTCGCACCTTCTGTTTTGGACCATAACAGTATTTATCAACCTGTGGGAAGTTCTTGGAGAGGGTGGCGAGAAAGAGAAAGGAAATGGGCTACTTTCCTTGCCGTCTTCCTCCCGCTACCTCTGATCCCAGCAGGTGTCCAGTACCATGTGGCCTATCGAACAAGAGCTACTACGGACAGGAAGGACCATCAGTCTTGGTGGCTGGGCAGGTTGCTTTCCTATGTTGGGGATGAATGATGAAAAAGAGGCAGGAGTAACATGGCAGAGAAAGGCAGTGCTTAGGAACAAGGGTTGGGAGAATAAGGGAGAGTGGGGCAAGGACCTGCCAGATAAGAGCAAGAATCAAAGCCAGGGCTGAAATAAGGCCTAGAAGCAGAAAGCAACAGAACCTTGTATTCAATTGGAATCAGGATGCACACTCAGACTGAGAAGAAAGTTATGTTCATTTGCTCGCTGCTATAACAAAGTACCACAAATAAGCAGCTTCAACAACAGAAACTTATTTTCGTACAATTCTGAGGGCTGGAAGTTCAAGATCAAGGGGTCAGCAAGTTTAGCTTCTTCTGAGGCCTTCCTCCTTGGCTTGCTAATGGCCTTCTTCTTCTCCCTGTGTCTTCGCATTCTCTCCCCTTCGTACATATCTGTGTCTAAATTTATTCTTCTTATAAAGACACCAGTCATATTGGATTAGGGCCCCCCTAATGACCTCATTTTAGCTTAATTACCTCTTTGAAGATCCTATCTCCAAACTCTCATTCTGAGGTCCTGTGGCTAAGACTTCAGCGAATGAATTTTAGGGGGACACAAGTCAGTCCACAACAGAAGTGGGCAAGTGAAAGGTTTTCATCAGCCCCAGAAGGTGGTATCCTCATCATTCAGGGTGAAAAATCAGTTTCACACAGGCCTGGAGGTGACATGTAAGAGGGTAGGAGTGGAGACACCACCCCCTCAGTTATGAGGTATGTTATGGCATCCACCTTCTGGCAACATCCTCAAATGGAATAATATTACCATTAAATTCCAACTTATTGGGAAGCAATCTGTTTTAAACACCCTGCTCTCAAGTCTACCAGTTCACGTCTTAAATCCCTGCACTGCAGCAAAGTCTGTACATCCCTTCCAAAGTCCACGAGGGCCCTTATTCCTGGGAGACTTCGGAAAGCCCTGGAAATACTGGACCAGTGTAGCTTTCTATTGAGGGCACCAGGCCCCAGAGTTACCAGTTCTTTTTTCGCAAATGGTTCCTGCTTTAGCAGAGGGAAGGAGGAAGAGGCATGGAGAGCACCCTAGCCCTTTTGCTGCCTGTTCAGAGGACTTCCATGCTATTCAGGTGGCAGGAGTAGTGCCAAGGGTCCCAGGAACCCCAGGTCTGGCCTATGTATGCTACAGTGAGAAACTTCCTTTCTGGAGAAGTCAAGTGAGACTGAAACCCTCCAATATAATATCCTCCCTGCAGCCCGCCCTCTGAAACGACTCTGATTTTAAATGTCTTAAGAACAATTTAATTAATGTTGGATCTTTATTTTTCTTTACATCTTCCATTGTGTTTGAGTTCATGACAGCTGTTTATTGAGCTATCACTTCTATGTGAATAGTAGGGAGGGAACTGGGAGATAAACTTGTTTCTGAAGGTAAAGAAATTCTGGGCTTCAGGCAAGAGGGATAAAGTGAAAGTGGTGGGAGAGAAAGCTTCTGATTTAAGGGTTTGGCCCTTTTTCAGGTGAAAAATCACCCCAGTTTTCCCACCCCTTCCCCTTGCTTTCCTTTCCTCATTCATTCTCCCCTCCCCCAGTTTAAGTAAAATTAACCACATACTGAACATACGTTCATGTAATTACCACGAGCTTATCAGGCCCCACCCTTAAAACAAGGTTTGTTTTGTTTTCCTTGTTTTGAGTTCAGTAAACTTTTTATTGAAGTAAAACAGACACACAGCAAAAGTTCACCAATCCTAAGCGTAGAGCTCAATGAGTTCTCACTAAGTGACCACATCCATGTAAGCAGCATATGGACTGAGAAACAGAACATTCTCAGCACCTCAGAAGTCCTCTCATGTCTCCTCCTGGTCACGAGCCCCCACGGGCACCCAGTACTTCTATCACCCTCAATTAATTTTGCCTCCTTTTGAATTTCATATACATGGGAACATACAGCATGTATTCGTTTGTGTCTGGCTTCTTTCGCTCAGTATCAGACTCATGAAATTTATCAATGACGTCGTGTGCAGCGATCATGTGTTCATTTTCATCATGGAATGGTATTCTGTTGTATTAGTGAAAAACTGTTGATTTATCCATTCTGTTGTTAGTAGACATTTGCACTGTTTTCAATTTTTTGGCTATTACGAATGCTACTGCTTTGGACATTCTTATCTATGTCTTTAGTAAACAAATGAACAAACATTTATTAGGTGTATATCTGAGTAGATGTATTTGGTCATAGGGTATACAGACTTGTAACTAGTAGATGTTGCAAAACAGTTTTTCAGAGTTTTGGGACCTATCTCTTCTCATCAGCCATGTGTATGAGTTCTGATTGGCCCACAGCCTCACATACATTTGCTATTTTTTGTTGAACACTAGCCATTCTGATAGATGGGTAGGGATATTTCACTGGGATTTAATTTTTTTTTCCTGATGAATAATTAAATTGAGTACATTTTCATACTTTTCTTGGTCATTTGTGTATCTTTTCATGTGTCTGTGTATGTGAAGTGCCTTTTCAAGTCCTTTGCCCATCTTCTCTTGGTTTGTCTGTCTTTTTTTTTTTGATTTGTAGTGGTGCTTTATGTATTCTGGATACAAGTCCTTTATTAGGTTGCAAATATCTCCTCCTACCCCATGGCTTGCCTTTTCACTCTTCTAACAATGTTTTTTTAAAGGAATTGAAGTCCTTAATTTTAATGCAGCTTGATTTATCATTGTTCCTTTATTTTTGGTGCATTTCTGTTCTGTTTAAGAAATGTTTGCCTACCCCAAGGCCATGAAGATATTATCATATGTTTTATTCTGGAAGTTTTATTGTTTTGTCTTTATTTTCATTTCTAGGTTTCATATTTAAATTCATAGTCCATCTGGAATTGCTTTTTGCATATGCTGTGAGGTATGAGTCAGGATAAATTTTGTTAATAAACCTTTTTGTTTGAAAAACATTTCAAACTTAGACAAATTCTAAAATATATTAGAAGTCTTACAATTAACACCCATAAACACTCCACACAGAAACTTTCATTATTAATTATTAAGTGTGTCTGTGTAACATAAGTAACAAAATTAGACCTTTGACCAAGTGTTTGGAGGCTGACAAATATGCAAAGTGTAGCTGGAATTCAGCGTCCTGTGATTGGATTCTCGTAACATTTTAGATGTATTCTTGAATAATTACTTGGATGTGTAGGCATGCCTCCTCATTTCAAATGAGGTCAACTTGGCTATCCTCTCTTCTCAAAACCATGGTAGAAGACAGTCCTTCAGGCCTCAGTAGGAGAGAGTGCTTAGTAGAACTCTGTTTAAGAAAACTCCAAGTTCATGGATACAAGGGCTTCCCAATAGCTTGAGACAATGTCAGGGATGCTGTGAAGACCCAGTGCAATGCTAACTTATCTTGTGAGTGCTTGATGTACCTTATCTCAGAATACTCAGAGCTGGCCTGGCAAGAGGGGTTATTATCCTCAATCTACAGTTAGGCAAAAAATAAGGCTCAGAGAACACAGGTTCATGGTTGAGAGCTGGGATCTGAACCCCAGCCATTTGCCTCAAGACGCACAGAAAATGAACCGTATATAATTGGAATGCCCTTTGCTTGGAGGAGTGAGATTGAAACAAAGTTTTAGAGCTGTGATCTCTTGGGAGCGTTTTATTTTCAGAGAGTAATTGTTACTCTGGGACTTGGCTCAGTCAAATTGCTAGCTCTGGATAGAGGAGTAATTAATGAGGGAGGGTTGGGGTTCAGTGTCCCAGACTCCTCGTGCTTGGGGGAGCTGGTTGCTATGTGAGCCAAGTGCAGAGAAGACGTCGGAACAGGTGGGAATCAGCACTTGCGTTAAACTCACAGGGTTCTAAATTAGAAAATGATTTCAACCCTTGTGAGGAGAGAAAATACTGCAGGATGGCAGAGAGTTAGAGACAGCAGAAAGGAGCAAAATCAGATCCTGATTGAAAAAATGCAAATGAATACCTGGAGGGAAGAGGGATTGCAGACACAGATGCAGCACTTGGGAGTCCTGCTCTGTAGAAAGGCACAGCTCGGAGCTGGAGCTGGAGACAAAGGGACTGGCACAGGTCCCAGGGCACCACAGGTTCTGAGCAAACGCCCACGACTTAGAATGGGGGTGGGCCTGGGGCAGCTATTGGGAATACCGTGTGGCTTTGCCTCAGCCCTGCTGGCTGCGTAAGTTCACATCCAGAAGGGTCCTGCCTGGGATGGAACCAGCCAAAGCAGAAGAGTGAGAAAGTGACTCAGGAAACTGACCTCAGACTGAGGTCTAGTGAAGAAACCTGGGGCTATAGGAAGTGATCACGTGGGGCTCAGAGAAACCACAGGGGCTGCGAAAGTGGTGGTGGGTTTCTGCCTGGAAATGCAACTAAACACATAGTTTTGGCCGCCAGCCCAGCCCTGTGCCAATAGCAGCGGCCACACAGTTGGGACCCAGCAGTCCTCTTCTACACCACCCTCTCCAGCTCTGTTACATTACCATTCTGCTGTCCGGGAACCCTGTGCTATGCTATCAGAACTTGCCCTCAGAAAGTTTTACTGTGAATCCTGACAGCGAAAAAGACACCATCTCCCTGATATGGTGCTGCACAAAATGTATAACCTTAATCAAATCATGAGGAAACATACAAACACCAAATGATGGATATTCTGCCAACTCTGAGCCTGGATTCTGAAAAAAATAGATCAATGCCAGGAAAGATAATGAGAGGCTGAGAATCAGCTCAGATGAAAGAAGACTAAAGAGACCTGGGAACTAAATGCAACAATTACACAGGAGTGTGAGTGCCACAGGAGACCAGCCCAGGACAGTCTCTGAAATGCATGTGGTTTTCAAATTTTCTTATGAGCTCTGATTCTTGTCATTTGCCTCTTTCTTTAGGAATCAAGGGCAGAGAGTTCACTGCAGATTAGCTAACTGGAGATTATCGAATGTCGTGACCCAGGCTCACGGTGGACTTCTCAGCACCCCTAGGGAGGGTTATGCACTGGTTCCCGGGGTTTTCACTGGGTTGAAACTGAGCTACTTCATTTCCCTGCCTTTCCATTTGCTAGGCGCGCCCTCATGTCACTGACTCAGGAGAACTCCTGCTCCCTTCCAACTTTGGGAATCACATCAATGTAATAAAGTGCTTACTTAGTAAAGCACACAAGAGAAGTAATTTAGATGTCATGGGCATTTTCATATTCTGGCAAAGGAGGGAACTGCCAACGTTGAGCCTGTTCCTGTAGGGCCAGAACAGAGTGAGACAAATTGAGGAAAGGCCCCCTTTCTCCACATGTGTATGACATTTCTTAAATCAATGGAGACCAAAAAAGAAAAATGTCTCCTCAAACTAATCTGAACCTTAGCAGCTACACATACATTTTGCCTCTGGGTCTTCCATGTTCGTGGGCACTGAAGAGGGGCCTAACAGCAACTGTTTTCCCCTACCAGTCAGTTAAGTAAAAGTTTTAAATGCAAAATGTGCATGTCAAGGACATTATGTGGATTTGTGGCAGTGCCCTGAGGACTTTGGGTCTATGAAACAAAGGATGAATTACAAGAAAATGTAAGTATGACATTTTCATTAGTGACTTTCCTAATACTGTCACAATATAGAAGAAAACCAGTGATTTCCTGTAAATGAGCATGTTCACTGCAGCTACAAAAAAGTGCCAAGCTAAGCAGAAGTTGGACTGGAAAAAGCAAAAAGCAATTCAGATGGCGACACCTCTCAAAACGTCACACTTCAGAGCAAAGGCAGATGTGTGTGGTCTTCCGTTTTCAGCTAAGGAGACCTGTTTGCAACTTAGCATGAGGAAAGCTACTGATTTAGCGTTTGATGGGGCAGGTCTTTCCTAGACCCTGCAGTCTCAGTGGAGCCTCTAGTGAGACCACTGTGTGGCCAGGAGAGAAGAAGGCCTGAGAGGCTGGGTGAAATCACATGGAGCCTGAGATGATCTGAGAGGTAGCCCATGGCTCTGGGGTGTCAGTCTTCTTTGTGTCTCAAGTGTACTTTTCTTGGAGATTATTTCTATCCTAGGAGTCTCCCCATGCAAAATATACCTCATCAGGCCTTCATATTCACCCCACTATCCTTTATCCTAAGGCATCATCCAGATGAATTATGAGCCCACAATTCTATAGGCTTCTACCTAGCCCCCTTCTGTTTTTACCTAATTAGTCCAAGATCTATAACTTGAGTTAGGGAATTTTGCAAACAGTGTTTGGCAGATATCAGAATATATGACTCTCCTGGGACCCAGGATGACAAATTCCTCTGAATTTATGTGCAGGGCTGTGCCCAAATGGTGGGTCTGGTATCCACAGCCTGCAGTTCCAGAGATCCAAAACCGACTCAGGCTTCAAGATCACAAGACCTTGTGACCTAAGGTCTGGGCCACACTGCTTAGTTTTTTTCTTTTTTTTCTTTTAAACATTGTATTAAGAACATTTCTAAATATACACAAAAGCAGTTAGTTACAAGGAATCTTGTGTATATCATCCCACATTCAATAATCACCAACATTTTGCCTACCAGTTTCATCTCTCCACTCCCTCTCCTTTTGCCAGAGTATTTTAAAGCAAATCCCGAGCACTGTGTCATTTTGCCTCTAACTACTTCAAAATGCAACTCAAAACAAGATCATTTCTCTTACATTATTGCGAGGTCACTATTATTGACAAAATTCACAATTCCTTAATATTCTCTAATATTCTGTTCTCGTTTAAAATTCCCTGATGGTCTATAAAATGTCTTTTCCCAAACGCTTTATTTGAATTAAAACCTAAACAAGGGCTACTCTATTATCCGTTGCGCATGTCTCTTCGGTAGCTTGTATACCTCTCTCTCTTTATAAGAGCAGCTCCTCTCTTGTCCCACCCCCTCACTCTCCACTTCTACCAACATTATTCACACGTTGACAAAACAAAGTCTGTTTTTCCATAGACTGCCCCACCTTCTGCATTTGGCTGACTGCTACCTTCACAGGCAGACTGAAAGTTAGGCCCAAAGTCTTTTTTTTTTTTTTTAGGTATAAGAATTTTAAAATTTAATCAGTTTTCCCAATTGTAATCACAGGTTAGATACTGATACAGCAGTTTGGAGACATGAAAGAAAATCAGCCCACATCATACTTATTGGATTCACTGTGGGCGCATGCCTTGTTCTGTGAGCTAATCTTGTTTACATTCTTTTTTTTTCTTGATTGGATTCAAGGTTAATCTTTTTTTTGGCAATACCTCACAGGTAGTGCTATGTACATTATACAGCATCACATCAGAAAGTGTGTACTATCTGATTGTCTTCTTTTGTTGAAGCTAATCTAGAGTCGATTTATTTGTTTTGAAATGTTTTCCTTCAAAATCAAAACTGTAAAACAAAGTACATTCAGAGAAGTCTTATTTCCAAAATCAAAACTGTAAAACAAATTACATTCAGAGAAGTCTTATTTCCATCCCTATCCTTCTCTCTGGCTCCTTCCCTTCCCTAAATATAACCAGTTTGGAGTTTTTCCCCAGTTTCTTTTTCCAAATATAAGAAAACACACACGTACCTTTCTTACGTACTGTATACTACAGTAATAGACATTCTGCACCTTGCTTTTTTCACCTTAGAATAAATCTGCATATCACTCCATAGCAGTGTGTGGAGATGGTATTTACTCCTTTTTCAGCTGTGGAGGGTTCCATTTTGTGAATGTACCACATTTTGTTCAACTAGTCCTAAATGGATAGATAATCTGGTTATTGTCAATCTTTTGTTATTTCAAAAACTACTAAAATGAATAGTGCTATGCATAAGTCATTTTGTGTTTTCCCAGTTTTATATTTGGTAAAGATTCCTAGAAGTGGGATTGCTGCTCAAAGAATAAAACGTAATTTTGCTAGTTAGCCAACCAAATTACTCTTTGATATAAATTTACGTTTTTTCTCTCATCAGAAAGAAGCCAGCAGAGCATATAACTGTGAAAATTTAGGTCTCAAAGAAATTCCTGACACTCTACCAAATACAACAGAATTTTTGGAATTTGGCTTTAATTTCTTACCTACAATTCAAAATACAACCTTCAGCAGACTTACAAATCTTATCTTTTTGGATTTGACCAGGTATGTATTCTAAATCTTTGTGTGCTTGATGTTTTACTTAAGTGAAAACATGACTTGCACTCAAATTGTTTCCAGCACTTTCTTTTGGGCCACAGGGACAACCTGCTTTTTCTGCATGTTTACCCTTTCCCATTAAATATTTTTAGGCAGGTAAAATATAATTTAAATAAGTGCCAGTCAATGGAGAGGAAAGTGGATTGTTCTCAAACTGGACTGTGTCGGCAGTGCTGCTTAAGAAATTCTATAGACTATCAGTAACAAAATTGAATATAAATCTTGTACTAAATCAGATGCCACATCATACTACATTTTAGCATAGCTGAATATTAATGGATGTGGCATTTTAGGAAAAGTTTACAGGAGAAATACGTATCATCTACTTTTTCCCCCCTAAAATTGGGAAAAGAGTTTCATTACTTGGTTTTAGAGGCAAACTTAGTATTCCAAATGCTGAACTAGTGCTTGTTAATCAGTGGGCAGAAGTATCACAAGAAAATAAGGGAAGAGAGCAAAAGGGAAAGGCAGTGTGTGTGTGTGTGTGCGCGCGCGCGCGCACGCATGCACGACCATATGTAAGGGGGGATAGGGTGCTGCATGTGGATGAGGTCTGCACCCCTTGCAGCATCTCTATTTCTTCTACTCTGGTCCTTCAACTTAAGCTTCTGCAGGGCAGGAAAGCATTCACCTCCCTAGAGCCACTTTGTCTGTGTAACCCCCACTGGGAGGTAGCCAGGGTGAATGCTGCCACAAAATCTAACAGAGGCTCAAGCAGATTTTGTGAGTTGAAGGTCACAAAAGAAGGAAACTGGGACTCTGCTCTCCTGACTGCCAGTCCAGAGTCCCCCAAATGTCCCCCGGCCACCTCCACAACCAAGACTCAGTTAGACACAACTGAGAGCGAGCCTTGCCCTTTCAGGTCATTCTGCTACCTACCTAGTTTGCCCCAAAGAAACTGACTTTCCCTCTCTTTTGCCATTTCTCATTTTCAGATGAAATGAGTCTGACCACATTTTTAAGAAGTGCTGAGCTTTTCTAGCTGGAGACTCTTAAGTTTCCCCTTCCGCTATTTTCAAAGTGATAAAAATAGGACCTCATACTTTCTAAAACCCTCCTCCACTGCTCCCCTCCCCGCCTTCTATCTGGTCACAACAGAGACACTGCTTTTACTACTTGACCCGGCCATTGTTCCTTTAGCTTTCCCAGCTTGCTTTCTATGCTCTTTCTATCCCATCCTTCCCTCTTGCTTTTTAGACCTTCCTGTCTGGAATCATTTTTCTTTTTCCTAAAGCACCTCCTTAGACATTTCTTTGGTGAGTGTCTGTTAGTAATCAACTCCCTCAGCTTTTTTCCCCCCCCCCGAAAACATCTTTATTTCACTCTGATTCTTGAAAGATAGCACTTTCTGGCATATGGCTCCAGGCTGACAGTTATTTTTAATCCGGTCCTTCCAAACTACCCTTTCAGTCTTCCATCTTTGCTGTTGGGTGGTCATCTATCTGTCTAATCATTGTTCACATATTGGTGATCTGTCTTTTCTTCTCCTGAAGTTTTCAATAGCTTCTCTTTGTCTGTGGAATTCTGTAATATCACTGATGCACTGTGTAGATTGTCAGGCTCCCTGATTCTGAGATTGGTGTCTTTCATCAATTCTGAAATATTCTAGCCATTATCCATCTGAACTTCAATTTGCTTCCATTTGTATCTCCTTTGGATCTATGGTTAAACTTATATTGCATCTTCTAATCTGTCCTTTATATGTTTTATCTCTTTCTTGTTTACCATCTCTTAGTTTTTTTGGACTACATTCTAATTAATTTTTTCCTATTTACTTCTAGTCTGTTAATATCCTCCTCAGCCATCTCTAATCTGTATAAACCATTTCAATTATTAACTTTTTTCATTTCAAAAAGTTTCAATGATTTTTTAAAATTTTACACAAATATTAGATCCATTTTAATATTTTTTCCTTTATTATACTTTTGGTTCTTATTGTTTCCCTTAAACATATTAAACATGTTTGACATAAGTATATTTATTATGTATTCTGATAATATATATCAGTTATATCATATATTTTTTATATAGCATATATACATTATCAGACAAATCTGATAATTCTGGCATCTGTTGCCTTTTTTAATCTGATTCTGGTGGAACTTTTTTTTCCTTTTCCTCATTTTGGCTAATGTGTTTCCCTTATATGTTTGGTGAATTTTTATTTTGAGCTCATTTATCATGTGGAACTTTGTGCAAATTTTTGTTTAAAAAATTTTCCCTGAAACTAGATAATACCAATGAGTTATTAACATTATTGTGTGTGACAATGGCATCATGACTATAGAAAACAAGCCTGTATATTTTTTGGAAATGCACACTGACATACGTATGGATGTCTAGGATTTGACTTAAAATAACCCAGGAGAGGTAAGTGGGATTAGATGAATCAAAGCAGCATGTGTGGCAAAATTGTGAGAACTGTTGCACCTGGGTGACAGGGACATGACCGTTCATTATACTATTCTCTTTACTTGTATGTAAATTTGGAAGTTTTCCTTGTAAAAAAGAAAAATTGCTTAAGAAAGTATATCGCTCCAGAAAAGGTTTCTATTTACTTCTACCAGTTACCTGAAGTCGCTACCTTTCTGGCACCACTTTAAGCTAAATTTTTCACCAGGGTTTCTTTTGGGTGGTCCGCAGAGGTAGCATAAATTCAGGCTACAAGCCTCATAGGTGGAAGTTTATGCTTAGGGAATCTCATGGGAGATTTTTCTTGTTTTGTTGTTCTTCTACCCAGAGCCAAGGCCAAGACAAACACATATCTTCGAAGTCTCTCTGTAAGTTTTCTGTTTTTTTAAGGTCACCCATCGAAAGGATCCCCTGAGGGTCTCTGTTGTTTGCAGGTTTTCGATAAGACCTCTGATCCTATTCCCAACCATTGTCTCCTGCACTGGTCCATGTGGCTTATTAAAATCCAATCTCTAGGCCACGAAGGATTGGCAGGTATTGGCAGATATGACAAAACTAGCTCCAGAGATTGCTTGGTTCTATGGATTCAAGCTTCCTTTTGACAATGCACTTCTAAGCAATTCCCTTATTAACCTCCAGGGGAGCTCTGTGTGTCTATGTGTGTATGTGGCTGTATGTGTGTAATCCAGTATTTTTATCTGCAACACCAGGCTGGGTTTCTCTGAACCTCTAGGGTTCCATATTTCACTGGAGCATTTTCTTATGTATCATTTGAATCACAACCATTTACAAAGTAATCATGGTTGCTATACTTTATAGGTGAAAAAACAGAGCTTGAGAAAAGTTGTGACTTGTCTAGGATGGCAAAGATTCATATTTACACATCGTATGTTATATACTGTGCATTATATATGACATAGTTTATATTACTTATAACAGTAAATTATAGTTTGATTTTTCCTACAAACCACTAATTATCATACACAAACTGGTGAGAGTTCAACCTATAATATCTGGAAAAAATTCTAAATCAAAGGGTTCACACCTGAGGCTAGCCATTAATTCAGAACCCCATCTACAGGTACTAACGAAAGCTTTTTATCTTTCACTTGGAATAATAATGTATACTGGTTTTACTGTACACAAAAGATGGCTTTTTAATATAGGTCACTGTGATAGTTTTTCTTTTTCCTAATTAGTTGTTATCAAATACTATTATCTTTTTAAGGTGTCAGATTAACTGGGTACATGAAGATACTTTTCAAAACCACCATCAACTGAACACCATCGTGTTAACTGGAAATCCCCTGATATTCATGGCAGAAACATCACTGAATGGGCCTACGTCACTAAAGCATCTTTTCTTAACCCAAACAGGAATATCCAATCTTGAGTTTATCCCAGTGCACAATCTGGGAAACTTGGAGAGTTTGCATCTTGGAAGCAATCATATTTCCTCCATTAATCTCCCAGAAAACTTTCCAACACAGAATCTGAAAGTCATGGATTTTCAGAATAATGCTATACACTACATCTCTAGTAAAGACATAAATGCTTTGGAACAGGTCGCTAACCTTAATTTCAATGGCAATGACGTTAAAGGCATTGAGCCTGGGGCTTTCAATTCAAAAATCTTTCAAAGTTTGAAATTTGGAGGGACTCTAGACTTATCTATCATATTAAAAGGTCTACAGAACTCTACTATTCAGTCTCTTTGGCTGGGAACATTTGAGGACACTGATGACCAAGACCTCACTTCAGCCATGCTTGAGGGACTCTGTGAAATGTCTGTTGAGAGCATCAATCTACAGAAGCATCATTTCTCTGGCTTTTCACCTTCCACATTTCAGTGCTTCACTGGACTCCGGGAGTTGGACCTGACGGCAACTCACTTGCGAGAGTTACCCTCTGGGCTAGAGGGTATGAGCTCTCTCAAGAAATTAGTTCTCAGTGCAAACAGTTTTGAGCAATTGTGTCAGATCAGTGCTGCCAGTTTCCCATCCCTTACAGACCTCTATATCAAAGGCAACACGAGGAAACTGGACCTCGGTACTAGGTGTTTGGAAAAACTAGAAAATCTTCGGAAACTTGATTTAAGCCACAGTGATATTGAGGCTCCTGACTGTTGCAACCTGCAACTCCAAAACCTGTCCCAACTGCAACACTTAAATTTGAGCTACAATGAGCCCTTTGGTCTCCAGGATCAGGCGTTCAAAGAATGTCCTCGGCTGGAACTCCTGGATTTGGCATTTACCCAGCTGCGTGTTAGTGCTCCACAAAGTCCTTTCCAAAACCTCCATCTCCTGCAGGTTCTGAATCTCTCTAACTGCCTCCTTGATACCAGCAATGAGAACCTTCTAGCAGGCCTGCTGGATCTCCGGCATCTGAATTTACATGGGAACAACTTTCAAGATGGGAGCCTCTCAAAGACCAACCTACTTCAGCCAGTGGGCAGCTTGGAGACTCTAATTTTATCCTCCTGTGATCTCCTCTCCATAGACCAGCAAGCATTCCACAATCTTGGGAAAATGAGCCACTTAGACTTAAGTCACAACCGCCTGACAGGTGATAGCATCGACGCTCTTAGCCATCACAAAGGGATCTACCTTAATCTGGCCGCCAATAACATTCACATCATCCCACCCCGTCTCCTCCTCATCTTGTCTCAGCAGAGCACCATTAATTTAGGTCACAATCCTCTGGACTGCACATGCTCAAATATTCATTTCATAATGTGGTACCAAGAAAACTTGCAAAAACTTGAGGGCTCAGGGGAGACCGTGTGTGCAAACCCTCCATTTTTAAGGGGAGTTAAGCTGTCTGATGTCAAACTGTCCTGTGGGATTACAAGAGTGGGCATTTTCTTTCTTATGGTATTTGTATTCTTGCTTATAATTCTGCTCATTTTTTCAGGTAAGTCTATTCTTAGGTGGAAATACCAGCACATTTAGTGCTGAAAGTTTCTAGAGATGGCAAATAAATGTTTAGCAAAATTGCCCTCAATAGAGGAACTGTTGTCTGTTAGTGATTAGACTTTTCAGACAGCTTCCTGGAGCCAGGCAAGGTTTCACTGTGCTTTTCTGAGTCCCAGCGCTAATGAATCTCCAGGGAAGGTAAACTAAGTAGGGTCAGAGGGCCAGATGCAGCCATGAGAGACACACAGCCATTTCCTCACATGGAAGGTGAGCAGAAGCTGAGGAGGACCCCTGCCAGGGAAAGGTCAGGAGAGTAACCCATCAGGAGGCCATCCCTTCCATTCATGGGCATCTTTTGAAGGGGAGTCACTGCCCACCCTGACCCTAAAAGGACACCATCAACTCCCACCACTTGGCAGGGTCGAGGACCCCAGCTCCCTGTCCCACAGCTGGGGAACTGTGCTCAGGTCTTTGCTCTCAGTAGTCACTTGGGAAATAAGTTGGGGATAAAGTATCAAAGCTTATTTTAAAGAAAAAAGGGAAAACACAATGAATTTTAAGAGACTGAGAAATGAACCTTGCCATCAAATTCATTTCATTAACCTCTTTAATCCTTAAGTCTCTAAGGTTTCTACAATGCTGCTGCTGCTAAGGTATAAATAGCTCCGAAAGACAAAAACAACAAGAAAAAACCACCCACTCCTGCCAGGCTGTCCCTCTCCTAAGGTTTAGGAGTTTTGTTACACTGGCCGCCCTCACTTCAGAACCAGGGAGGTTCTTTCTACCTACCTGATGTTCTTATTCTGTTTCAGATCCTAACTTACAGGTGGCTGTGGGCCAGATGCTCTTCTCACTTGAATGTCTGGTCCGTACAAGCTTCTTTCCCACAGGAACCATGAGATAAATGGTGGTTTGGTTCCCAGGCCAGCTCTCAAAAGCCTTTCACCTGGGATAGCAATTGAGACAGCACGTTACTGCGGAAAAACGTGTTACAGCTTGGTGTTACAGCTCAAACTGAATCACCTCCACAAAGAAGGACCCGGAATACTGTCGGATGGCGAGCCTCCTCGTTCACTTTCAGAGCTCCCGACCTCCAGGCAGTTGCTCTGCCGTCCCTGCAGCTGAAGTGGCCGGTGTGGTTGGAATCTCAGAATGTGGCGGAAAAATGTGTTACAGCTCACTGACAGCCCAAGCAGTACTCACGAAGTTGGAGAAATCAGGTTTATTATGGCAGCAAGCCTAGACGAGTTACCACCTAAAGCTCTGGACAGCGGCTGCAGGTTTTCACAGGCCTTTTATAGGCTGCCGGTTTTACACTTTGCAACATCATACGCAAATAAAGTATAACAGAAGTTGACCAACCAGGAAGAAGCTTTGTAGAAATAGACCAATCAGGAGTGAGAGAAATAACCAATCAGGAGTGAGGGGAATGGACCAATCAGGAATGAAAGAAATAACCAATCAGGAGTGAGCTCCATGCGAATAAAAATACTACAAATGGACCAATCAGAAGTTAGGGAAGTGGACCAATCAGAAGTGAGAGTAATAACCAATCAGGAGTGAAGGAAATAACCAATCAGAAATGAGCTCAGGGAACCAATAGAATTTTAGGTGTAAGTTAGCCGCTTTAGAGGCAAAGAGTGAGATAGAGCCTCTGGGCCAGGGAACTGGACGGTGCTGGGAGGAGAGCCTCGGCCCTTGCCTACAGGTCCTGCTGATCTTTTTATGGGGCTTCCCGCCTCAACGTCACAATGAAAACTAGCGGAAGAAAGAGAGCACCCCTGTGCACTCCCTACAGGGCGCACAATCAGCTGGCTTAGTGAGAAGCTGGGAGTATCAGCAAAGATTGTGCCAGCGACGGAGAGGGGACAGAACCATTAAACGCAGAGAGAGAAAGAGAACAGAGACGCTGGCAGTGTTATGCCTTAGGCCTTCTTCCCAAAGCACAAAGGCTTGATATTCTGAAGTCTGCATTGGTGGGCAAGAGAGCTGAGCTCCTGTACTCAGGTGTTGCATTTTAAGTCCTGGATTAAGTTCTACAACCAGTTTTAGGCCAGAGATAGTAGCTTATAGCTGTTAAATTCTGATTGGATATCAAAATAAAACTTGATCAACATCTAATCAGAACTGATTAGCCCTTAGGTCAAGGGCATAATAATAGCTGGACAGAATGTAAACTTGGGGACCAACTCAGCTTTACCTCTGTACCCCTAGGAAACTAAAGACAAGGGAATAGTGATGGAAAGCCATAAACCTTTCTGAAAATGCTTTGCAAGCCTTGGGATGTTTGGTGTAATACTACATAGGAGTCCAGGTTTTCTCAGAAGTGCCTGGGTATGAACTCAAGGCCAGGCTAGAGTGAGGTGAGTGAGGCACCCATTCTGGGTGTGAAATTTATGGGGGAACCAAAAACTCAGTCATGAAGGCAAACCATTATTTTTAAAACTTTATATTAATGCAAAAAAAAATCCATGATGCATATCAACATTTTTAAACAGGCTGCATAACAGTGCCAGGCTGAACCATATCAGAGCCTGAGGCAAAAAGATGACTAGTCATGCCTCTAATATTTTGGTATTTTGTTCATGGTGGATATTCTACCTCGGTTTTGATTTTTTATAATGTTGCATTAAAATATTTTTTATCTTTGCTACTGAGTTTTTGGGTGCCCCCTTAAATTTGGTGCCCAAGGTGGGTGCCTCACTCACCTACCCTGTCCCCACCCTAAGGACTGGTGAGAAGTGGGGGTTCCCGGCTACATCCCAGGCCCCAGTTTACCAAGTGCCTATTAGCAGGCACATTATCTCAGTTTCACTCCAAAGTGTCCATCTCCTGTCTCTTTAATTTCTGGAAGCAGGGACAAGTGTTCCAGATCTTACACCTTGTTCCCCCATTTTCAGCTAACTCCTAACTCCTGGGCTCAAAGACTTCCTTCCTTCAAAGCCCAGAGAGGTGGCAGAGATGAATGGGTATCAAAATCCCTCTGAGCCCTAGGTGGCCTGGGCCTGGTGAGAGGGGCCAAGTAGAGCCCTGCTCTGCTGATGACATGAAACATCACACAGTGAACGCTTTACTTATCTTGAATACCAGCCTTTGGGAAAACAGGTGCCTGGGAAGGCAGTTTTCCTCGGCTTCCCTGAGGGAGCATTGGCAAGGCAGTCATTTAAGGATGTGTGTTAAATGAGAAAGAGAGTACCTGGAAATAAGAGGACAACGGGACACACTTCTTCAGCCACCTTTATTCCTTCCTGGGGCCTAGGATGGTGCACATCGTTCTGAGAAGGCCAGTTTGAGCCACTGCTGGGTTGTTATTGGCCTTGAGTCTGGCAGTAACCGAGGCCTTTCTTTTCTTGTTGAGTCTTGGGGCCAGGAGGGACCTAACACGGAAGTGGGCCTGGCTGCCTTGTCCAGGCTCTCCATACTGAGCAGCTGCTCCTCCAGGAAGCTTCCTAACTGCTGCTCCAGGAAAGGCCCCTGGAAAGGCCTCTAAGGACCTGAAGGCAGGCAGCCAACCCTCCCAAATTAGACAGCACCTCCCTCTGCCTCACCACACACCTGGCCCACTCTTGTGCAGGAAGCTTCACCTTTGGGAACTCAGGCAGGAATGGAGCAGGACACACAGTTATTCTGATTTTGTTCATTTGCTTGCAGCAACTTAGAGGGTCAGCTCTGGGCACTTTGGGAAATATTCCTGGTGGTGACAATGATGATGCGAAAACCATGCTCTCTGCTCCCCCCCTGCTTTTCTCTTTGCTTCTCTTCCCTTTTTCTCTCTTCGCTGTTTCTTCCCTTCCTTCTTTCCTTTTCTCACTGTGTGCTTCCTTCTTTCCTCCCTTCTTATCAGAGCGTACGGAAGTCCACGCTCTAAGAATCCAATATGACAGCACCAACTCACTGAGTTCCCCGTGGTTCCTAGCAAACTTAAGCTCCTTCCTGCCTTAAGGATTTAACCAACAGGTAGAAAATACTAATTGCTAACTTATCAATCCACAATGACACTGTGCACCATAATACTTAATGTGTAACTCAGTAAAACGAAAACATTCTGTAGAGTGTCTCTGATGACTGTATCTCATTAGACTAGAGGGGCCCAAGCCCTGGCAGCATGTCATGGCCCATGCTGCTGTCAGGCACCAGGCCCCTCCCACGCAATGCAACGGGCTGCTCCGTAACTGAGCACTGATCTAGGGCTTTGTGACAGCGCCTCTGTTTTAAGCAACAGTAAATTCACCCTACACAGTCAGAAAGGGAGCTTTTTGATGGCTGCTGTCAATTTTATTGCTTTATCCTGGTTACGAGGAGAGAATCTGCAGGCGTGGTGTGTTTATTGGTTTTATGTATCACATGTGGTGGCAGCTCTAAGCTACTCCTATAAAAATGTGTTATTATTGCATGTTGTAGCTCAGTGAGCTGACCCTGCATTTCAAAGTGTACTGAAGCAAACAGCATTGAAGTCCATAAGAGCCCACTGGCCTCCATCACAGAGGACTCCTTGCATGAGCTGCAACTCCCACAATCTGGGAGCAAATTGTATCTTTCCCCTGTGCCAGAAGCCATCCCTGCTAACTGAACACAGCACAGACCCAAATACAGGCATTATCTATGTATCTATGTAAGATTTCAGGACACAAAATGGTCATTTTATTTCCTACTTGCCTAACTTCCCAGTAAGTGTCGCTTGCAGTTTTGAAGTTTACAAAAGTATGAAATCGATGTCTTTGTAATGTTTTTATATATGAGTATAGGATGCAAGAGGGGTGTCTGACACTGTTTTCTATCTGCTCTGAATGCCAAAGGGAAAATTAACTTAAATTACAGCAAGAGGAGACGTGCTTAGTTCTAAGCAAGTCATGACTAGGGGGAGTCCGAGTATTGAGCTAGAATTGGTTGCCACATACATTAGGAGCTTGAATGCCCAATATGGTGGGAGTTAGTCTGAAGGCTGCAAAGCAATCGGCCTGCCCAGTGTAGCTCCCAGAGCTCCTGGATACTGGTTTATCACCAGAATCATCTGGGGAATTCTTTATAAAACAGATTCCTGTGCCTCACCCCTAGATACTGGGATTCTGTTAGACCAGGGTTGGCGTT